ATACCTTACATTTCCCGCCTAAAGGGTGACTAGTGAGGCGGGGACTCAGTCGCCAAATCTTTGGTGTTAGCGAATTATCGTCCACCATAATTCAGTTCGTGCACTACTGTAGAATTTAGAATTTTTCTATTTTAAGAAGTGTGAAAATTCAGCAATACCCTCGCCAGGATTCGAACTCCGTTCTCCCGATTGCCAGTCGAACGTGTTTCCAGTTAGACTACGAAGGCAAGTGGTAAAAAGGGAGAAAATCTCATTCTGCTTATATGGTGACAGGAAGGGCGAGGACCCAATCGCCAAATCCTGGTGATGACGATTTATCGTACACCACACAATGCACTACTATTTGTGCACTACTATATAGAGTCATTTACAATTTTTCTAACCTGGGAGTGAGAAGAATCAGCACTGCCCTTACCAGGATTCGAAATTCGGAACTCCTGATTGCCAGCCGGACATGTTTTCAATTAGACTGTGAAGGCACGCAATAAGGAGAGTAAAAAAATATTAAAAATGGTGATTGAGGAGACGGGGACCCAATTGCCAAATCCTGGTAATGACGAATTAGCGTCCACCACATTCCAGTTTGTTCACCACTGTAGAGTCATTTAGAAATTATCTAACCTGGAAAGTGCGAAGAATCAACAATGCCCTCGCCAGGATTCCAACTCCGGATCTCCTCGATTGCCAGCTCGACGTGCGTCCAATTAGACTACATAGGCATGTGGTAAGAAGGAAGATAATGCCTTACATCTTCCCCACAATAAAGGGTGACAGGGTAGGCGCGGACCCAGTCGATAAATCCTAGTGATGACTAACAATCGTCCATCACATTTTAGTTCGTGCGTCACAGTAGAGTTTGTTAGGTTTGTCAAAGCAAAAACATGAAAAATGTGCAATACCATCGCCAGGATTCGAACTCTAGACCTCCTGATTGCTCGCCAAACGTGTTTCCAAAATAAAGGGACATGATGAGGGGGCAGAAAATATTTTACTTCATTGGGTTAACCGCTTTTATGACCGACGTGCTGTGCGTACAGAACGGATGAAGGAAACGTTAAATTTGTGGTGATTTAAAAGAAAAGATTCTTCAGCAATATACGAAGAAAAATCACAGGTTATAGCGACTTCACCATCATCAGTGTGCCTTTTTTTTTAACGGAAGCTTTGTAAAAAAGAAAAATTTCAGCTCGATGAGGATTTTCTTTGAATTGAATATTGCAACATTACTGAAGATTTGATAATAAAGGTGAAAGAGTTCAGTACCGCTTTTAAAGAAGTGTATAGAAGTTCGAGTTACAGTTGAAATCACGGTCAGAACAATGGAGAATTTCATCTCTCCGGGAGCCCCGAAATTTTGCCAAACGCACTCATAGGCAAGCTAAATGACGATCTGCGTCTGACGATTGGGTCCTCTGCTACTCTTTCGTCCTTTTAGTAAGGGAGGATTTAAGGTATTTTTCCCTCCTTATTCGTGGTGTAATTGGAAAGAACGCATGGCCAGCAATTGGAAGGTCTGGAATTCGATTCCCGGCAAGAGGATAGCAGATTTCCACTTACCTTGCTGCAAAATAATTGAAAGTGCCTCAATAATCATCACAAGAGATAAGAGTTTCACACAGAAAAAGTGCAACAGTAGCATATTATTGTGAGTGGTGGACAAAACTGTGTAGAAATTGCACAAAAACGACCTGACTTCTTTTAAGAATGGGCAATTCATGTTAAACGCCCACACTTTCATTGCAACTACATTTGAGAAGATATGACAAGTTGAACAAGAAAAGTACGTCCTCTGCAGAATGGTTGACCAAGAAAAGTACGAGACTAAGATTTCATAAAGTAAGTTTGAGGAATTCGTCAAACTCTTCCCCAAACTGAAGCAGGGCCTATATGGATAGCCGTCCTGAGAGGTTTTTCTTCAGCGATTACCCAAGCCATGTGGGAAATGAATAATAGTAGTACTCTGATAGGAAATAGTAGATTTTTTGAGACAGTGATAGGATCAGGGATATTGAAAAGCAAAGGGCTACGTGAAAGGACGGTAACGGAAACAAATAAAATAAATGAATGACAGTACTCTGCTTTTTTTTTTTTTTATTCTATCGTATACTCACGACCTTGACTGCGTCTAAATGCGTAGTATTAGAAAGTGACAACAGATGGCAGCACTTCACAAAACATGTTTGATATGTTACATTTATAAGACAGTTAGCATTATTGAATACGGTACCTTGGTGAACGGTTAGCGCGCAGGACTACTAACATCAAAGTCCCAAGTTCAACCCCGACCTTCCCGGATTGATGTCATTCAATCCGGATTGATGGTCTTAACCTAGCCAAAAAGACATGTCAGCTTACTCTCGCCGTTGAACCAATAGAGTAGCATTCACCGTTATCCCAGCTACTCTCGCCGTTGAACCAATAGAGTAGCATTCACCGTTATCCCAGCTTACTCTCGCCGTTGAACCAATAGGCATTCACCGTTATTCATAAGTGGGATCCCCGACGCTAAAGCGTCAGAGTCTTACAGTGTATGTCCTCTATGTGTCTTATATATGTTGTGCGATAGGTGGCCTGTGGGAGGTGCAACTGGCGCGCCTGTGAGCCCTGTGAGTCCAGTCAGACCACACTCCAGGTGAAGGGCGCTGCGCCCTCCACTGAGAAAAGTTGGAGGGCGCTGCGCCCTCCAACCTCTACATTGGGAAAAAGTATGATAGCTTATCTTATCATGATGGTAAGGCCGTCTATATTTACTGTGTATGTGCGTGTTGTAATGGCTGTTCGCTCAATTTACAAGGGGGAATGTCCGGGGTCCTTCGTCATGCTGGGGGCCTCTTTCTTCGGTCTCGCGAGCGAGCCTGTATCGTGGGTGTCTCATAGTTAATTACTACAGCTTATGTAACTGATCTCAGAGTCATTCAAACAAGGTTTCGTAAATTTCGAGGGTCGTGAAACTAGTGAATAATAAAAGCATTTAAAGAGATGCATTCTATATGTAAAGATGGCAAATATTTATGACTTATTCGGTGATATTAGAGCTTTATATAGCTCAGGTAATAACAGCAGAATGTGCGGCCTTGCTAGAATGTGTCAGCATTTACTGACTGCTGTTGAAGAAGAAACAGATATGAATAATAATTATCCTGAAATTCATTCGCTAATTTTAAAATATATTATTCAAATGTATCAAATACTACACGAAGAAAAGAATAGTAAGGTACAGAATATGGGTTATGACACTCTATCAAAAATGACCAGATTTCTTTTGTGTAACTAAGCCTACTTTATTTTTTAATGATTCTAAAACCATTAAAAAAAAAAAAAGTTATTGCTCAAATTTAAACATGTTTCCAGGTTGGGCTTTCCCGACATCTTTACTTCCTAAATAAACAAAATAAAGAGGTTTAATGCCATTGAGCTTTAAATAATCAGATGCTTTGTTATCACATCGCTTCGGTAAAGATACAACACACTCAGGTAAATGGACTATTATTTTTTTACCATACTTTGTGTTTATTTCTCTAATTTCTGTAACCGGATACTTTTCATTGATATTAAGTTCGCTCATTTTCTTGAACTCATTGAGAGAACTAAATGTGTTTAATTCTTGTAACAATTCCATCTTTACATATAGAATCCATCTCTTTAAATGCTTTTATTATTCACTAGGTTTCATCAGACCCCTCGAAATTTTACGAAACCTTCGTTTGAAATGACTCTGAGCCATCAGTATATTCATAATGGTAATAAATTAATACCACTCACCAAATATAACCAGCCAGTGGATATGTGGGGGAACGAATGTCCCCTTGCTAAACTTTGAGCGAACAGTGCCGCATGAAGAAATATAGACGGCGTTTGTAAAAGCGGCTTTTTTGGGAAAGTAGCGTTTGTAAAAGTGGGTTTCGATTTTAATGGAGGGCGGAGAGGCCCCCCATTGTTTTTCTAAAAGTGGGTTCGATTTTATGGAGGGGGTTTGAGACCATCACATTCTAAAATGGGTTCGATTTTAATGGAGGTTAGACCATCACATTCTAAAGTGGGTTCGATTTAATGGACGGGGTTGGAGAGCCATCACATTCTAAAAGTGGGTTCGATTTTTTTAATGCGAGGACGTTGGAGAACCATCACTTCTAAATCAGTGGGTTCGATTTTAATGGAGGTTTTAATGCTACATCACATTCTAAAATGGTTCATTTAAGGAGGGTTTCGCGCTAGTCATTTTTCGCCCCCAAAGTCATGCATCCAGCTCTCTCAATTTGTACACTACTTGTCTTTCACAAAAAGTAAACTTAAGGAGAGAAAAGAAATAGTAAAGGCAGAGTTAACAATTTATGCACTCATATCTGAGCAATCTCTCATAGCTCCATTCCTTGTTTATGCAGAAATTTTAAATTATTCTGAAGATAGAATGCCTGAAGCGTCATCTAACGGCTGTTGCTATCAGTTCATTACAGATTTATAGCTTTAAAATAGTATGAAGATCATCCTAAATATTTTTCGCAACTGAATGTTATCTGTAAAAAACAAAAAGTGGATACACTCCAAATGTTAGGCATCTTATTTTTGAGATACGTTAAAACAGTAGTCTCAAACTCAAACTGTCCACGGGCCACATGCTGCTGGTGAGAATTTTTTTTAACAAAGCTAAAAATTTTATTAATGAAAACAATTTTCAAATAGATTTTTCCGATTTCGCTTACTAGGTATTTTTCAAAACATACATAAACGTTAATAACAACATCGCAAAGGAAAAATTCAAATTTCGTGTTATTTTCTATCTGAAATATAAAGTTTGAGTTGAGAAAGGCATTTTTGTTTTCATTTTGTACAAACCGTCCGATGCCAAATTTTACTTGAAAAGTTCCATATTTAATTAATCATTAAAAGTTTTTAATTTAAAAAATAAATTTTTTTTTACTTGTATCTCTTATCTTTCTTAATATAGTTTATAAATGATACCTGTTCGGTGTTATAATTGAACTCCCGCAGCATCTTATTACCGTTAAAAATTTGAGCTTCAACCACACTTTCAAGATAAGTACCATTATTATCTATGAGTGCGAAGAAGGTTATTTTAGCCTTTACACTTTCATTCAATGTCATGAGTGCTCCATTCAGTAAATTATTACTGAACGAAGTAAATGTCACCTTCTGAAATTTTGAGCTGCTGTACCCGCTTTCAGGAGGATCTGCGCATACATAAACACTTTGAGTATATTCCTGTAATTTTTCTTCAGTATGCTTGAATCCTATTTCCAAGCTTTTAAGCTTCTTCGAAGTCTCTGACGAATAATTTTTAAAGCTGTTTACCATAGCATCATTACTTCTCCTAGCTTCCAGCTTTAATTCCTCTATTCTGTTGGTCATAACATCATAAAGTGTCCTAATTTCCAGCTTTAAATCCTCCAATTCTCCGGAAACGAAGGACTTCGTGGTGACATCGTTGGCGTCTACTGGATCTTTACAGTTTTTCAGCACCTTGTTTCCCATATCATAATTCCCATCGTTTGTGAGTTTAAACCCTATTCCAGGTGGACCGCGAAGACCCACCGCTTTTCTGGGATAGTATATTCCAAAAGGATACCAAGCCATCTTTATTATTATATAAATAAGTTTTTAATAGATTGTAATCTATTAAAATCTAAAAATAATCTCTAAATATTACATCCTTAAAGTATTCAACACTATGATCTTCTTTTCTACCATATTGAGTTTGCATCTCTTTCTCTCATTCAAAACAAAGTAAAATACATACTTATCATCAGGGCTGCTCTTCAGTCTCCAGTGAAATTCAATCATCAGGTTGCTAACATTTACGTACGGCTCGTGAAAAGATAAGTTGAAGCATATGATTGGATAGAGACTTCTAAAGGTTTCATAGTTGATCAGACATCCGGCTTCGGAAGTGATATTGTTAAGCCCTGCATCTAAGAGAGCGGCGTAGAGTCTCGAATAATCTTTTTTCTCAAAGTCCATAGTATAATTGATGTTTGGCACCCTCACGTTATTGACCATAAGCCAGCAATCAATCATGTTTAAGTTATCGAACAGCATGTTGTTTTGAGAAAAGTTTTCGTTTCTTTTATCATATTGGGGCACAACGTAAAGGCTCATCACTTCATCAGTAGTGGCGGGTATGTTGCATGATCCGCTGCTATTTTCTAAAATGTTGGACTTGACTACTCTAGGTTGCCTCCAGTTAATGTCGATGGATTGGTCCGACAGAATCAGTTTTGTAAACTGACCATCAACAGAAGAATTGAATTTAACATAAGGTAGCCAAAGCGAAAGTTTCTTGACTTGTACTTTATATTTAGGATTAGGTACATTTGTATACAACATGTTCCTGTGACTGTTTCTTTGAAACTGAAATTTTACATCAAAGCCTGTAATGACTTTTTCATAATCATTGAGGAAGCCGAAAATGTATTTGAGCGGTATAAATATGTGCACAGACTGACTATCTCGGGTATACATCCATCTTTTGGTAAAACCTTCGTTATGGTCATCATTCACTCTTAAGTTAGCGAAAAAATTTGTTATTGTTGTAGCGTCGGTAAGGGCACCGTTAAACTTGAACGATCCTCTCTCGGTAGAATCGGAGGTATCTATATAGTAAAACATATTGGTCGCTTCCGAAGTTGCATAATCAGGTGTGAAGTTAATTAAACCCATAACCTGTAACATCAAGGATGTGTCATGCACATCTGAATCTATCTCGTAGGCACCGATGGTCATGATACTTCTCCTGAGTAAACCTCCACCATTCACCAATGTCACGTTCTCTTCCCCTACAGAATCTCCATTTGCTTTTAGGACTCTGAGTTCTTGGTGAATATATCCTTTGGAGTAGAGAATTTTAGCGTTTGTATCGAGTATGTGAAAGTTATACGTGGCATCTTCACTCGTATCTTGAGTGTTGTGCGTTTCTTTCTTTTTGATTTCTCTATACTCAAAACTTTCTATATCTCTGATGACGTCTTCTGACGTTTGTTTCAACTCCCAAATATTGTTCATCTTTATTATATGCAGTAAAATTATTTTCGCTTCATATTCTTTCCAAGGATAGCTTCTAATTTAGCTTCGTTCACTACTTTTAAACCTGTGCCTCTTTTAATCGTTTTATTAAGGATTGACTCCAATTTACTATTCACTGCTTGCTGCACCTCTTGTTCAACCTCTTTCTTAGCTAGGTTCAAAAGCTTTCTCCCAAAGAAACCTCGCCCTTGTATCCTCTTGCTTGCTCCGTAAAGTCTATGTCTGTTCATTTATTGTAAGTACAAAAATTTTCTTCACTCCACCAGCAACCTGTAAAGTACCCTTTGATTATTGAGCTCAATAGGTTCACCATCCTGATTGGTCAGACGCATCCTGATCCTATATATGTGGTTACTCTTTGTCTTAAAAAAGATAGGTCTGTCAAAATCTTTAGAGAGCAAACTGCCTGGCTCTTGAGCCGGTGTGAAAGAATGGATAACTTCTGATGCAAATTGGTTCAAATAAGCTCCCTCTATTATATCACAATGGATATGAATATCATCGATGCTTCGAGAAATATTAGCCACATACTTGGCTTCTTGTTTCACTTCTTCGTAAATCTTTGGTTCAAATCCTAAAATCTCATGAAGCTTACTCTTTGATAAATCAAGCTTGTAGTGTTCTTTCAGTTTTATCACAAATCTCTGTCGAGCGAATATCACGCCAAACTGTATGGGAGGACTTTCGTCCTTGAAGTACTGCATCATGTAATCGTTTAGCTCCCCCAGAGTATAATTTCCATCCGGAATAGTTAGATCATACCAAAGGCTTCCATCATAGAATGAAAGCATGTTGTTCTCATAGGCCTTGCAAATGTTGTACCATGAAACCCATAAGGAAAATGATTGCAAAGCAACCCTCTTGATTCTCAGAGGCGTAGCGTATTCGACAGTAAAGTCTTCTGACTTCGGGTAGTCTTTTGAGTTTAATATAAGCAGAGTCATTTTATTATAAGCATTTTATTTTTTTTTATTTTAATGGGCTTTTACCTATTAAAATAACACACATGTTTCATTAAAGTAGCACTTTCTTCTCATTATGATCACTTGGTTCTTGAGTTAGGGAGTATAAGATGTCCCAAGGAGGGTGTCCTCTATTTCTCTTTTTTATGTATGTCATACTGAAGTAGCCACAACGCTCAGATGTGGGTTTCTGCAGGAAGCTTGAATTGTACCGAACTTCTTTGTTTGATGTTCTCAGGTAATGAAATATGTTTGCCGGGATAGTGTCATCCTTTAAAGTAGTACCTTTATATTTGTAGTCTCCGAATGAATCAAAATATTCTACAAAATTATTTTTTGGATCGTTGTAGTAAGCCACCCAATGTGTTCCAGGCCCTGTCGACAAGTCTAAATTAATAATTCCACTTTCAAACTTTCTCATCTTTTTGGGTAGCAAGTCTGATGTGAAGACGCCACGAAATCCTCTCTCACCATTCATGCATTCCTCAATCATTTTGTTCGAGATTCCCAGTTTTGTAGAACGCCTTTCCCCTTTTTTTTCTTTCCCCCGCAACCGGATCCGCTCACTTTATCCATAATCTTTTTGGCTCCCCATCCAGCTGCCCCCGAAAGAGCACCGGTAGCTAAAGTAGTAAGAATGGGAAGAAGAAAAGGCAAGAATCCACCATTTGTCTCCAGTTGTGTTTTGCTGATCTTTATGCGTTTGCCCTTCTTTAGTTGCTCGATCTGTGTTTGTGTAAGATATAGATCATGATTTGGCGCCTTGGAGGTATTGATCTGTAGAGTGACCTCCTCTTTTTTCTTGTGTGCAGTCTTTAACTTGTTGATCTGATGATCAGTCAGATGCACTTTTATTTTAATGTAGTTACTCATTTATTATATGTAGAGAAAATTTTAGTTAGCTCAAAAACTTTGCGTAGTAGCTTTTTACAAAATCATTAGTTAGCTCACCCTTTTTCAAAAGCGCATCCAACAGAGTAACGATTTTATTGTAGAGCGTTTTACTTTTATTCCCTCCACATCTTTTATCCGTCAGTCGCGAAAGCAGCTCCACCCTATCGATACCCTCGCCTGAATAATAATTTCCATCCCTGAGTGTTTTGAGTGCTTTTGTATAGTTCCTCATCATTTGAATTTTGTAGTCGAACTTGTCCAACTCTTTTCTTAAATATTTTTCCTATCTTCATTATCTTCTGCACTGTTCTTCCATTCTTTTTTCATAGGCCCTTTTCTAGTTCCGAATTCTTTATTTCTGTCGTTGGCGCGTTTTATGATTTCATTCAGCTCGCCCTCACTTTTGTTCACTAATTCCGATGGTAGTTCAAAACCCTCTTCCCGAATGAAAGACTCGTCGATATCCTTATTTAAGTTTAAATTATAAATCCTGCGCTCCAAATCTTTTATTCCATAATCCAATTCTGGAATTGTTGTGGACTCTAACGATGGAGAGGATATTTCCTGTATTGCATCCTGAACAGCTTTAAGGTGTTTGTTTCTAGATACTTCCTGCTTAGTCATCTCTTCTGTCACAGGCTTATGAAACTCTGTTAACATTTCTCGAACACCTAATTTTTCTTGAAGCTGCTGCTCGTTTTTTCTTCTAAGATCTTTTTGTAACTCACCCAATCTTTTTTGGGCTAGTATCTGCCCCTTTATCTTTTCAATGCGTTCCTTTTCTAATTGATTCATCTTTATTACTTAGCAAATAAAGTTTTGCCTTAAAGTAAATGTTTTTGCCTTAAAGTAAATATTTTTTTGCCTTAAAGCAAATATTTTCACCTTAAATAAAGATATGATTCGAATAAAGAATTACACGCAACCTGAAGAGTTTGCATATGCTGATCAGCATCCTTTGCTACCCAAACATCCCTTCAGACTTTTAATCACCGGACCTTCAGGGTGTGGTAAGACAAACTTGCTTCTTAACTTCATCTATGATTGGTTGAAGTTTGACAATCTCTACGTATGTGCTAAAGACATCTTTGAGCCCAAGTATTCATCTCTACAAGAAACATACACGCAGTTTAATGATATAGAGGAAGATGATATTCTTAGCCTTAAAAAAGTTAAGAAGGTTGATAAAGAAAAAGTTTTAGAAATGTTTCACAAATTCAAGAAGGAAACATTATTCACGTCAGAGTTGGGCGATTTTATAACAGTAGATGAACTTGATCCTAACGTTAAGAATCTAGTTGTATTCGATGACTGCGTGACAGAAAAGAAGCAAAAAGTCATAGAGGACCTATTCATAAGAGGTAGGAAGAAAAATGCGTCCATCATCTATATATCTCAATCATATTACTCAACACCCATCAACATACGCAAGAACTGTAACTACTTTATCTTCTTTAGACTCCAACCAAGAGAGGTTAAACAAATCCTGAGGGAAATCGATGGTAGTCTCACCAGCGAGGAGTTCGATAGTATGTACAAAAAGTGTGTCACGAAACCTCATGATTTTTTCATGCTTGATTTAGTTAACCCTGAAATGAGGTATAGGAAATGTTTTTCTTCTTTAAATAAAACATGGAACAAAAATTAGAGTCATGCTTGTACGCATACAGAAAAAGCTACAAATTCTACAGTGATGTT